CTTCACATAAGTAATGCAACACCTGATTTGTCATTTATTCACCAGTATTTCTTTTCATTTCCAGAAAGGTTAAAAAGCGTTCAATAGGCTGTTCATCTTTTAAATACCAAAATACAGCACTTAACTGATCGATATATGACAGATCTGGTGTTGAATCAACTGACAAACTAAAATAACAAGAAGATTTATCTTCATCAACAATGAGCGCATGGACGGTTTGTGCCATTAGTTGAATGAATTCCTCCCAGGTGCATTTGGACAGGTGAGAAGGGTTTCCTTTGCCTGCATTTCCATATTTAAAAATATGGCCTGATAAAAATGGATCAGACTGGCTTATGAGTTCAAGCAGCCCTAAATAATTCCGATTTTGCAATGATCCAAACCTTTCTTCTCTTCCTTGAAAAGCCCGTATTCCGCCTGTCACTGAACTCTTCTCTTACAAGAAAATTCAAGAGATTTTTAGGAGGAAACAGGTTGCAAACGAAACAATAAACCAATCCTGTTGATGATGAATACAGTAACCACGTTCTTTTGTATTTCTCAACATTGGCTTGTGTCCCAACAAAGGTACAATATGTGCCTTAAATGCATGCGTAGTCAAAAGCAACACCGTTTGGCCATTTCCATGAGTTTCACAACATTTCATAAGAACTTCCCACAAAATTATGAAACAGTAATTACATTATTTGTTTTTCAGTGTTATATTAAAAAAACAATCAGCTGACTTAAGAAGTGTCAAAGACCTTACCAGTGCCATGTAGGCCAGATCGTGACACAAAATTACAATGTGTGTGTTGTTGACTGTTGGCACGCTGGATACTGAGTGACCTACTAGCACCCTTGCACAGTCTCAGGGGACAACTAAACGGGACGGCCGGCATGAAGAAGACTTAGAAGTTAGGCAAGAATGATCACATGGGCCTCCGTGGACCCTGGGGCAGTTAAATTTACCAGATTCTAATTTCGTTGTATTTCTGAGACTAATGCATATCATTAACCTCTGTCATTGCTATCAATATTATTTTTACTTCCACCAAGGAGGTTATGTTTTTGTCGGAGTATGTGTGTCTTCGTTTCTTTTCTACTGAAGTTTTACAGATTGTATACAAATTCCACAGACTGCATACAAATTTTCCCCTGCTTTCATTTATGGGGTTGGGGGATTTTTCCCCCTTTGATTTCATGACCCTTGGCGGAGGTCGACACTCTCTGAGCGCTCTTGCTATTATTGTATATATCTCTACATAATTTTTTTCATGGCTGCTGCATTTGCAGTATTGCAGCATGTGGCCTATAGTAAATTCAGCTATGGAAAATTTCTGTGGTGCCCCCCTCTTCCCTTGATGCCCCCTAAGCATGTGCTTATTGTGCTTAATGGTTAGTCCACCCCTGCCTGTTTGGTATCCAGTTCTTCTGAAGCCTGTTTCTGTAAGTGTTCCAGCAAAAGACAACAACAACAACAACAACAACAACAACAACAACAACAACAACAACAACAACAACAACAACAATAATATAAAACCAAAAATGAGCAGCCACATGATTAAAGGAGACAATTCTTTTAAATTTCCAAGCACTTCTCCTATGTTCATTGGCACAGTGCTAAGGAATCTTTGCCAGGCCAGTGAGCAGAGGCCACATTTGCATGAAGGGGCTGTTCTCTGGTCCTGCAGCGTTTAAAAGAAGGAGGTGGAGATTCCGTCCAGGTATCTTCCTGAAGCAAAGTCAGACACCTCCGGAGAGAGCTCACCATGGCCTGGGCTGTGTTTTTTCTCGCCCTCCTCAGCTTCCTCTCAGGTACTGTAAGTCTCTAGAGAAGGAACATCCCACCTCACAGCTACACGCTGGCTTTCATCACACATTAGCCACAGATACTCAGCACATATACTTAACACTTTTGTGGTGTTTCAGAGAACAGAAAATGTGTCAGGCTCATGGTTTTTGCTTCTTCGCCTTCCCAAGGTATCCGTTCACAGCTGACAATGAATCCGCCTGCCTCGGCCTCTGTGTCTCCGGGAGAAACTGTGACGCTCTCCTGCACCAGAAGAAGTGATGAGAGCTGGGATTCCGTCTCCTGGATTCAGAAGAGACCTGAGCAGGCCCCTCGTTTTGTGCTCCACGGTTCCAGCACCCGGGGGGAAGGGATCCCACATCGATTCAATGGCTCAGCCTCTGGGAACACTGGCCGTTTAACCATAGCTAATGCCCAGCCTGAAGATGCGGGAGATTATTACTGCGCTGAATGGTATAATA